CTCATACCTCTAACAGCACTCAAGACCACTGTATTCATAATCAATCTCTTTCAATTCCTTCTACCTTGGCTTTCAACACTAAACTTCCTCTTTCGGTTTCCTCCTCAAGTGTCACCATGGCCAACGATTCTAGTGCGCGAAACGCTGTCCCAGATCTACTAAAACCTCGCTCCAAACTACACATTGGAGCCTTCAACGTACGTACCCTAAGTCAAATCGGTCAACAGGCCTCCTTAGCTAAAACCTTAGAATCTCGTACCATTGATGTATGCTGTGTCTCCGAAACACGCATACAGGATCCTAGTGTGGTCATTCACTTGACCTCACCTCGCCAAAATGGACAGCCAACGAAATACACCCTCTGTGTATCTGGCGTCCCGTTGACTAGTTCTCGTGGACTTGCAGGTGTAGGCATAGCACTAAGTACAAGGGCAGAACAGGCACTATTAGAATGGATCCCCGTTAACAGTCGCCTGTGTGCTGTCCGGCCAAATGGTTCCGTAAGAACTCGGAAGGATAGGGACACACGTCGTTGCCTTTTCGTCGTTTCTGCCTACGCTCCCACTGACTGCAGCCATGATGAAGTAAAAGATGACTTTTACAGAAAACTCTCTGAGCTTCTTCAGAAAGCTAAGCGCTCAGACATAGTAGTCGTAGCGGTTGACTTTAATGCCCAGGTAGGCAGCTTAAATCAAACAGAAAGACATTTAGGTGGGTGTTTTAGTATTCCGGCTCAACGAACCGATAATGGTGATCGTCTGTTGCAACTATGCTCAGACAATCGTTTATTTTTAGCAAGCACTAATTTTAAGCATAAGGAGAGACATCGTTTAACATGGCGACCACCTGCACCAAACCAACGATGGACTCAAATAGACCATATTGTCATCAGTCATCGTTGGAGAGGCTCAATAGAAGATTGTCGCTCGTATTGGAATACTTGTTTAGACTCTGATCACGCTTTAATACGAGCGCGCATTTGTCTGCGCCTCAATGGACGCAGGAAAAGTACACTAAGAAGACCCATTAGGATTGAACTGGAGGACGAGAAAGCCAAATGCGAATTCCAGAAACAACTGAGTTCACATCTAGGCAGTTCTGTAAACGAGACTGACCCAGATGCTGCTTCGAAAGACATACGAACAGCTGTGGAAACAGCAGTAACGTCTATTAGTTATTTAAACCATAGGGCTCCAAAAAACCAGTGGATTTTTTCTAAGTCTATTTCACTGATGGATTCGCGTAAACTCATCCCATCAGGCTCTGAACACGACGAAGAGCGTAAACAAATTAGATCTAGGTTAACTAAAAGTCTAAGGAACGATCGTGAACAGTGGTGGGCAACGAAAGCAAAAGAGATGGAAAAGGCAGCGGCTGTAGGCAACACCAGGCAACTCTTCAGACTAATAAAAGAAACCGGAATTAAGAAGTCAAGTGTAAGTGAGACGATCTCGGAAAAAGATGGAACCCTTATCTGCTCTCAACCCAAACGTTTAGAACGATGGGCGGAACACTTTAAGGAGCAGTTTAGCTGGCCTTCAGCCACTGCACAACTACCCACTATTCCCAGAAAATCTGAATGGAACATTGAAATAGGCCCCCCGACCCTACTTGAAGTTCAAAAGACTATAACTAATCTGAAACGAGGAAGAGCAGCTGGTCCAGATGGATTGGCTCCAGAGGTCTTTAAATATGGTGGTCCAATTTTAGCGATTAGGTTGACTAATATTCTGGCTAAAATATGGGAGACGGACGTAATCCCATCTGACTGGTCACAATCTCTGATTGTCACAATATATAAGAAGGTGTCAAAATCATCCTGTGATAACCATAGAGGGATTAGTCTGACTAACATAGCATCTAAAATACTAGCCTCAATAATTATCGGGCGGCTAACTAAGACTCGTGAACTGCAAACACGAGAAAATCAGGCTGGCTTCAGACCTGGTCGTGGCTGAATCGACCACATATTCACCATTCGTCAAGTTTTAGAGCACAGACATGCTTATCGGCGTCCGACAGTGATAGTTTTTCTTGACTTAAAAGCAGCATTTGACTCTGTAGACCGAGAGATTCTGTGGCGGTGTCTGTCATTAAAAGGTGTACCTGAGAAGTACATAAACCTTGTGAAGGTTCTTTACTCGAACACTACCAGTCGAGTGAGAGCTTATGGCGAACTGTCATATGATTTTACAACCTCAAGTGGTGTCCGTCAAGGCTGTCCACTATCCCAGTTTTTGTTTAACTTCATTATAGACCTATTGCTGGAAATAATACTCTCGTCGACTGAATTTCCAGGAATTGATCTCCTACCAGGAGGTCCACTTATCGACCTAGAATACACAAATGACATAGTCCTGTTTGGTGAAGACGCTGACAAAATGCAGAGTCTTCTGTTGGAACTCAGTAATAATGCCAGAATGTTTGGGATGCGTTTCTCCCCATCCAAATGTAAATTATTACTCCAGGACTGGCCTGTGTCAACACCTGAACTAAGGATAGGGAATGAAGTAGTCGAACACGTCGACAACTTCACTTATCTTAGAATTCTGATCAGCCCTAATGGGTTGGTGTCTGACGAAATCTCAGCACGGATTCAAAAAGCTCGTTTGGCATTTGCCAACTTACGACACCTATGGCGAAGACGAGATATCCGTCTATCAATTAAGGGACGAGTATACTGCGCAGCAGTTCGTTCTGTTCTACTTTACGGCTGGGAAACATGGCCATTAAGAGTAGAAGATACTCGCAAGTTGCTAGTATTTGACCACAAATGTCTTAGAAATATTGCTCGCATCTGCTGGGATAACCGGGTAAGTAATAGTGAGGTTAGACGCAGAGTATTAGGGAATGATGGTAAATCAGTTGATGAGGTCATGAATCTTCATCGACTGAGATGGTTGGGCCACGTGTTACGTATGCCTGAACATCGATTACCACGACGCGCAATGTTGACTAGTGTAGGGGATGGTTGGAAGAGAGTTAGGAGCGGCCAAACCAAAACATGGCATCAGTGTTTGAAGTCACTAACTTCTAGTCTGAGCCATGTTGGTAGATGCAGACTACCTGGTTGGGGTCCACGTGACTATCGTAATCAATGGTTGGAGACTCTATGTGACATGGCTCAGAATCGATCACAATGGCGTAAGTGTATACACTCTTTATCTTCCCTTAAACCTTGAGATTAAAATTGCTTCATAACTTTTTTCCTTCTTATACTATATCCTTATATACAACCTTTCTTATTATACTACCACCACTAAATTAATTACTTCTATGAATCCGGTGTTCATCTCGTTGTGCTAACGAGGTATGGCAATTTGGACCGATGCATATATGTGCCTGGGCCTACGTTGTCGCTGACTGACTTACTGTATCGGTGAGATCAGCTTCACCCTATGCTTGTAAAACCTGGCCTCTCCGATTTGAAGTATTCCTAATCTTACAATAACTGGATCTGTACTGTTCTAAGCTAGTAGAGATGAACATAATCCAGCGCCTTTTCCTACGCCTAAAAAGTTTATTGACTTGTTTATTTATCCGTGGTGGACTATTATTCGGTCTACGTGGTACCAAGTGTGGTGTGAACGGGGACGTGACTGCACTAAACTTGCCTTTGAATATAGATTATGCCTCTTCAACTGATGAGCTAGTATCTTTTTTATTTTTTTTATTTAAACACATAAATATTGGTACAAGGAAGCACCAGATAAATATGCGTCGCAAAAATCTCATTCGATTTGTGTGAGGGCTGTGATACTGCCCAGGTGCCCAGACTGAAGCCGGTGGTTTTCTTAGGGGGCCACACCCGGAGCCTTTGACCTAAAGGTCTGATCCACAAGGCAGTGGAGCATCGTAAGGAGATGCAGTCCCATGGTGGCCGGTGAACAACGATTGATTCGTACGCCATTTGTTCCCTCAGGATACTGGAGTCTATGTGCACCATTGGTTTAGAATCAGGGTTTTCCAACTCCCCAAGGTGAACTCGGTGTGTCCACTAACCCGGTTAAAGAGCCGGGCGTTCGCTTTTCGTCCTCTCAATTTCGTAAACAACACCCCCGCCACGAGAAGGCAGTGAGTAGGACTTCCGTGGCAGAGGCTATATACGCGTGGCCATGTGAGAGCATTTGGAGAGGGAGAGCGGACTCTCCCCTCTCTCGGTCGTACCAGGGCATTTGGGGGCTAGTGTCCACTGACCGATCTATATTAGCAGCGCACTCCTGAATGGCTGGTATGTTAGCTCTCCATATATTTGGGCTAAACTTAATCTGATCGTATATCATGTCACTAGCTCTAAACGTGAATGATAAAACAGCGTGATCGCCATTTACTAACGGGGGGAGAATATTTAGTTTGGCGATATCCTCAGTCTCATGAGTGATTACCAAGTCCAACAGAGAAGAACCTTGGTTTATACTAAAACGTGTAAGTTTGGATACATGCTGTACTAATGCATGCTCCATTACTGTTACCAAGAACCTGCTATCAAGGGAGTTTATAGATCCTTTCGTGGTCATGTCAGTCCAAATAATGTCAGGTGCATTAAAGTCTCCTAATATCAAGCATCTGTTATTTGCACTCCATAGCCGAATGTGCTGTAAAATAAAGACTCTGAATTGGCTTACATCAAGTCACGAAATGTCAGAAACATGATTTTATACCCAACGGGATGTAACAAAAGATATATTTATTAATAACACAGCTAATATGTTTTCTAGGGTGAATAAGACTAACTGTTCCAAATGTATGAAGGTATTTGAGTCATGTACTTTATGAACCAATTTGGATTCTCACAATACGTTAAGATTTTTTCGTAATGATTAGACTTCACTATCTAAAGCAGTAATTTAAACAAGCCCACTAGGACAAACTGATCCAAAACTAGGATGGGGACCAAGACTGTAATGGGACTGATAAACTACCCGTATTAAAATGCTTCTCAGTGAAAGCATAGGTTGGCAAGTAATAATATGCCAAACAGACAACTGGCTTAAACTAACCTGCTTTATCAGCGAATTAATCTCATCCTCAGGAGCTGAAAGAGTAAAGATATTCCTCATGGAATTTTCCATAGTTAAAGAACGAATATCGAGATCTTCAAACTGAGACTCAAATTTACTCATGACCTTTTCGAGTTTCTCCAAATCCATGGTGCGCATCGCCTTTTCAAGTTCATTAGAGACAGAACCAATATTTTTCACCACCTGAAATTACAATACTCATAGAAATATACCTGATTCATTGTGAGAGCAGTTTGTACGCGTGACTGGACAGCATCAAAGCGAGATGCCATCCGAAGGTAATTAGTTGACTCTTTCTGTTTTCTAATAGCATTTTCAGCATAAATCCTGCCACACTCAACATTTCCGGATGTTAAAGCCTATTAAAAGCAAATGTTTAGATCATATTATTCCAGATAGCGAACTATGGTGCACCTTTTTTAGTTTTTGCTTTTGCACTTCAGATTCCCTTGCTGCTTTTTCAGAAAAGCGCATTACTTGCTTCGCTGCAATCTATAAGCAATACACATTTTGTTAACAATATGTAATATACCCTGAGTTGTATTAGTGAGTCCTGTAACTTGTCTGTACGGTTTCCAAACATAATTTGAAGCTTGAATAAGAACAGAGACTTTATATGGCCCGCTTCTGATAAGGAGAAATAAACGGTGATGTAGACGTCAACGCCCTAGATATAACTTCCTTCGTTTATTTTCCCTCTCGAAACCTTACATTCCTAAAACGCGCCTTAACAAATACAGATTTCAAATTTTAGGTTTGATTCTTTATTTTGAAGACAGAAGCGTGGAAACAGCCAGTGTATGCTTGATTTGTAGATATTTAAAAGCTATAGCTTCAATTTTATATGCTTTCGTCCAGTCTGTACAATCATTGTTATTGTCTTCAGTCTTCAGTGATAAGGATAGTAGGTTGATGAACCTGTGTTAATCTTGACAGATTTCCTTCCAGTGAAGGTCTAGCTTCTTGAAAATATTCACTGATGGTGCTGATACCACTTGTTCTGGTAATGCGTTCCAGTCATTGACCACTTGATGAGAAAAACGGGACCCCACCTTTAGTTTATTAGATCGCGGTTTATGAACCTTCATGCTATAACCTCGGAGATTATTAGTGCTGGAGGGAGCAAAAAGGTAAGACATATTAACACCCAAATCATAATTAAAGATACGAAATGCCAGTATAAGGTCACCTCGCGTCCTACGATCAGATAAGGGGAAAAGGTTTAGACGTTTCAAACGTTCATCGTAAGGGAGTTTAGAAAGACCCTTTACTAATTTTGTCCCCACACGCTGGACACGCTCAAGCGATTTAGTATCCTTTATCAGACATGAACTAGCTGCTTGGATACAGTATTCTAAGTGTAGCCTTCCATAGGTGGGATATATAATTCGAAACATATCCTCGTCAAGGCATTTAAATGCTCTGCGAAGCGACCATAGCGCACGATAACCTTTGGAAGCAGCCGCATTGCAGTGCGTAGTAGTTTTCAAGTCATGACTTGGTATTACTTCTAAGTCTTTATGCTCTTGAACGTGTGGAAGAGATGTACCATTAATGGTATAGTGGTAACTAATATCGTGCACGATGTGCATGAACACGCTCTTCCTGGAATTAACTTCCAAGCCCCAATCATGAGCCCATCTAACTAATTCGTCCAAATCAGCTTACAGATGACAACGATCAGCCTCACTTCTTATTGTTCTCCAGATTTTAACATCATCCGCAAACAATAATGTCGACGACTTAAGTAATAAAGGTAGTTCATTAATATACAGAAGGAAAAATAAAGGGCCTAAGATAATGCTTGGGGTACACCACTTTTCCAATCAGCGAAACCCATTGGACACAAACTGGACAACAAAGGCTAGGTACAGGAGAGATGCTGCTGTACTCCGGCCACGAAGGGGAAAATGCGCCACACACTCAGGGAGTTGCTCTAATGCTGTCCAGAGAAGCACGAAATGCACTTGTGGGATGGGAATCTCATGGACCCAGGATAATCAAAGCATCATTCAGAACAAAGAAGCAAGGGATCAAAATGAACATTATCCAATGTTATGCACCCACCAATGATAGCAACGACGATGATAAAGATCAGTTCTATGAAAGGCTGCAATCAATTATAGCAAAGTGCTCACGAAAGGACCTCACCATCCTTATGGGAGATCTAAATGCTAAAGTTGGAGTGGACAACACAGGATATGAAGATGTAATTGGACGACATGGACTAGGAGAGAGAAATGAAAATGGGGAGAGACTTGCAAACCTATGTGCTTTCAACAAATTGGTTATAGGCGGCACAATATTCCCACACAAACGCATACACACAGCTACATGGATCTCACCGGACCACACCACAGAGAACCAGATTGATCACATCTGTATCAACAAAAAATTCCGAAGATCAATGGAAGATGTGAGAACCCGGAGAGGAGCTGACATAGCTTCAGATCACCACCTGGTTGTGGCCAAGATGAGACTGAAGCTAAAGAAAGACTGGACAACTGGACAAACAGCACTACAAAGGTTTAATACAGCCTTCCTTCGAGATACTGACAAACTCCATGAATTCAAGATAACTCTCAACAACAGGTTCCAAGCTCTACAGGATCTACTGAAAGAACAAGAAACTACTTTGGAGGACAACTGGAAAGGGATAAAAGAAGCATTAACTTCAACGTGTCAGGAGGTTCTTGGTCCTAAGAAGCCTCATCACAAGGAATGGATCTCTCTGGGAACCCTGGACAAAATTCAAGAAAGGAAGAACAAGAAACTAGCAATTAACAACAGCCGAACACGAGCAGAGAAAGTCAAAGCACAAGCAGACTACGCAGAAGCAAACAGAGAAGTGAAGAAAAGCATCAAAGCCGTCAAGCAGAAATACATGGGAGAACTAGCAACGGCGGCGGAAAAAGCTGCAAGAGAAGGGAATATGAAACAACTATATGATACAACGAAGAAATTGGCAGGGAGATATAGCAAACCAGAGAGACCAGTCAAAGACAAAGAAGGAAAGACAATCACTGAGATTCAGGAACAGAGGAAAAGATGGGCAGAATACTTCGAGGAACTGCTGAATAGACCAGCCCCATCGAATCCACCGAACATCGAAGCAGCCCACACTGACCTTCCAATAGATGTCACTCCACCAACGATCGAAGAAGTCAAGATGGCCATCAGACAAATCAAAAGTGGGAAGGCGGCAGGACCTGACAATATACCAGCAGAAGCACTGAAGTCAGACATTGAAATAACTGCAAACATGCTTCACCTTCTATTCAAGAAGATTTGGGAAGAGGAACAAGTGCCAACGGACTGGAAATAAGGATATCTCATCAAGATACCAAAGAAAGGAGATCTGAGCCAATGTGAGAACTACAGAGGCATCAGTTTGTTATCAGTACCAGGAAAAGTTTTCAACAGAGTGCTGCTGAATCGGATGAAAGACGCAGTAGACGCCGAACTTAGGGATCATCAGGCTGGATTCCGTAAGGATCGGTCGTGCACAGACCAGATTGCGACACTACGGATCATCGTTGAACAATCAGTTGAGTGGAACTCATCACTATACGTCAACTTCATCGACTATGAGAAGGCGTTTGACAGCGTGGACAGGAGAACATTATGGAAACTTCTTCGACACTATGGAGTTCCTGAAAAGATTGTCAACATTATCCAAAACTCATACGATGGACTACAGTGCAAAGTGGTGCATGGAGGACAGCTGACAGGTGCATTTCCAGTAAGGACCGGAGTCAGACAAGGCTGTCTACTCTCCCCATTCCTCTTCCTTCTAGTGATTGACTGGATTATGAAGAATTCGACATCTGACGGGAAATACGGAATACAATGGACAGCTCAGAATCAATTAGATGATTTGGACTTCGCAGATGACCTAGCCCTCCTCTCTCATACACACGAACAAATGCAGATGAAGACATCGAATGTAGCAGCAGCCTCCGCATCGATAGGCCTCCACATTCACAAAGGAAAAAGCAAGATTCTCAAATGCAACACGGAGAACACCGACCCAATCACACTTGATGGCGAAACTCTGGAAGAGGTGGAAACATTCAAGTACCTGGGGAGCATCGTTGATAAACAAGGAGGATCGGATGCAGATGTAAAGGCAAGGATTGGCAAAGCAAGGGCAGCATTTCTACAATTGCAGAACATATGGAACTCAAAACAACTCTCAACCAATTTCAAGGTCAGAATCTTTAATACGAACGTCAAGACAGTCCTACTGTATGGAGCTGAAACGTGGAGAACTACTACGGCCATCATCAGGAAGGTACAAGTATTTATAAACAGTTGTCTACGCAAAATACTTAACATCCATTGGCCGGATACTATCAGCAACAGCGTTTTGTGGGAGAGGACAAACCAGCTTCCAGCTGAAGAGGAAATTAGGAAAAGACGTTGGAAGTGGATCGGACATACATTGAGGAAATCACCAATGTGCATCACGACTCAATCCCTAACTTGGAATGGTGAAGGGAAGCGGAAAAGAGGAAGGCCAAAGAACACACTACGCCGGGAAATAGAAGCCGATATGAAAAGGATGAATAGCAACTGGAAAGAACTGGAAAGGAAGGCTCAGGACAGAGTTGGATGGAGAATGCTGGTGAGCGGCCTATGCTCCTCGACGAGGGGTAACAGGCGTAAGTAAGTAAGTAAGTAAGTAAGTACACCACTTTTGACCGGTTTCCATTCGGATAACTTTCCATTGACCCTCACTCTCTGTCTGCGGTCACATAAGAAGCTTCCTATCCATTCCTGTATATCACATGTTATTCCAAAGCTCGAGGGCTTTTGCATAAGACCTAAGTGTGAAACCTTATCAAACGCTTTGCTAAAATCTATGAATATCACGTCGACTGACAGGCCGTTATCTAGAACTGCTGTCCAATCCTCTCTCGCAATGAGTAAGTTGGTTAAGCATGAACGCTTGTTACGAAACCCATGTTGCTCGTGAGTTAACAGATTATACGAATCTATGTGACTCAGTAGCTTGGCCCGAATTGGTTTTTCAAGTAACTTAACTACTATGCTGGTCAGGCTGACAGGCCGGTAGTTACATACGATCCGTCTCTGACCATCCTTAAATATGGGGCTAACTACAGCGTCTTTCCAGTCTCTATGTAGTTGAGCCTGTGAAAGGGACATGTTGAAGAGCATCGTGAGTGGTCTTGAGATAATGTCCGCAAGCGATGACAGCAAACGTGGATGTAACCCATTGGGGCCCGGTATCTTACAAGGTTTGAGGTTATTTATCAATGGAAGAACAATATCCTCGGTCACGTGTATAGGTCCTATGGCTGGTATCTCATTGTCAACGGGTCAAATAGTTGTAACACTACATGTGGAGTAGACTTCACTGAAGTAGTTTGCAAATGTCTCAGTTTTCGCTAGATCAGTTTCAGCCAATAAATCTGAATTTTCGTTTAACAGTAACGGGGGGATACCATCACTACGTTTTGTCCGCCTTTTAACGTACGAAAACAGTCGCTTCGGACAGGTACGGCTATCGTATGCCAACTGTCGTTCGTAAGCCGTGCGGGATTTAGCTATGGTCTTTTT